CTTCAAGGGACATTGCATCTAGATGTGCTTAAATATCTTTATTTCAAGGTTCAGTGGACCCCTCTGCATCATTACAGGAAGGCAGTCTCAAGCCACAACAAACAGCAGTGAATATACAATGCATAATAACAGGCACCAGTGTCCAGGCGTATGGTCCGCAGAAGCCAATTTGAGCCTAAAAATGTTTTTGTTGTCTTTAGATAGTTTGCGTTTAGGGTATAATTCGCAGGGCCCGATTTCCGCGCCCAGTGCATTGTCCGCCAAGCTGGTGCGCTGCGTCTTCGTGCTTTTTTTTCTGGGTGGCATTTTTTCAGAAGTTCTTCGGCGAACGTTATATAGCCTGAAGAACTTCTCTTTAGGCTTATATCCAGCCACTGAGCACACACACGCACAGAAAATAACACTCGGTGCCAAGTACAAACGAAAAACCTGGGCGGAAAGCCGTGATTGCCAAACGAGCAGCGTCGGGTGACGGCGACTGACTGCGTTACCGCCCCTTCGACGCCTGCATCACTGCGGTGGGTGGTCGTAGCTAGTCGTAGCAAGATGATCTTCATTTCAAGCAAGAAATCTTGCCATACCATAGTCAACATATGTGTGCAAAGTTCGACGACGTGGGCTGTCTCACGTTGGTGCAGTTGTCATCAAGAAAGGTATATATCAACAATGTTGCGTGTTTGAGGCTGAAAATATGATGCATACTTATCTAAACCTCAATTTATCGGACTGCGGCTACAAACATTTTCGTTGACGTTGCTTAGATGATGTAACCATTCAGGCCTCGCATTAAATGGTGTTGCGAACTCTTCGGTTGTGTATGAAAACCTATTTTTGCCCTAATAAAAGACATTTTCAAAAGGACACATGTCTTCTGCTGATACATATCTTCCAATTTACAATGCAGAGGCAAACAGAAAATTAGCTGCGTACATCTACCACTTAGCATAAGCACCTTTTGCCATTCATTCTTGAGCACACTCAAATATCAGCTTAGGCTGCCCTTGTTTTAGAAGCTTTCTCCTGTTCTGTAAAAAGAAAACAGTTAAAAAAGCTTTACCTTCGTTCTCCTTCTCTCATTTAATACAGACTTGTTTGTCAGCAGATCACACACAGCAGGTATCACCGTGGCACATACAACTCGAATAACCGATGAGATTATTGCTATTACAATAAAGCTTTGCACAAGAGCCAAAACGAGGCTTGTAGGGGTGCACAAGCACATTGAAATGAGATTGGCGCTTCCGGGGCTTGTTTACATTATGCGTAAAAACAGGACGATCGGCGACCAGCTCATCGCAATATAACACCAAGGATACCGATCCATGTTTCGAACGGGACGATCGGCGACCAGCTGATCGTAATATAACACCAAAGACCGATGTTTTGAAACATAGAACGCAGGATAAAGACCTCAATCGTCCATTGTATGCTGTAGTTGTCATACTTTCCATCCAACCGCTTTTTAGCACAATTAACTAGAACAACCGAAGAGTTCGCAACACCGTTTAATGCGAGGCCAAAATGGTTACATCATCTAAGCAACGTCAACGAAAATGTTTGTAGCCGCAGACTGATAAGTTTAGTTTTAGATAAAGTGCGCGTAATAGTTTCAACGCGCGAACATTGTTGATATGTACCTCTCTTTGAACCCGCGTGCATTCGGTTCAACTTGATGACAGCTGCACCAGCGTGAGAGCTCACGTCGAACACTTGCACATATTTGTTGACTATGGCAAGATTTCTTGCCTTCGACTGGCTTGAACACTTCATCTGTAGCATCACGGCAGGTCTTGGTTGAAACGATGATCGTTTCGCACACGGCAACAAACAGAGAACGACACGCTTTGCTTTATTTATACGCTACCGGTCCACGGGCGTCGCAAATCTATCCCCCTCTTGTCCGCCATGTTGGATCGATCGGAGCGCCCCCTATATTCGCTGAAACTCCTCAATATACCGGAACACGTTTTCAATAAAATTCAGTTGAAAGTTGCGCCTTGTTGTGTCCTCCGTAACTTTTTTGGTGATCGCGATTTTTTAGGAATATTTTGCTTTATATCTTTCATTCGTGGCGACGACAAATCGTAACGACTTCTATGTTAGATTCGTTTATTGCTGTATCGGGGCAGGCTGGGGCAGGTGATGCGAAGAGACGACCGTTCTTATCGGCGCGATGTGATGTACTAGTGGGAGTTTTTTTTTTCTGAACTCGACAGTGTGAAACTGAAGTCCGTTTGAGGCTGCAGCGGATGTTCAACGACAGTACAGTGCAGTTCTGTCACCTTGCTGATAGCAACGAGTACCGTCGATGCAAGGTCTCGGGACCTGACCTCTCGACGACTTTTATTCGACGATTTCCGGGCATTTTCGCAGCTGCCGTGGCGAGTTCGTCACTGTTTTGAACTTCATCGGTCTTAAGCTTGACTTGGTTTTAGTAGTCATCTTACCTGCCTACTTATATCCATGATGTTTTGTCTTCAGCGATGTAGCGAGTAGAGTGTCCTTCTCGCGTTCGGTGAGATTTGGGGCCCCCGATGGCTCCTTCGCCTCAAAATGTGAGCACGAAAACTACTACCACTGTCAAAATATCCTGTTATCAACCGATATTAAACACACAATCACAGATGTAAAGAGCGTTCGTGTTTATTTGAAGCTTTGACTTCTGTTATTGAAAGTTAAACGAAAAAATGATTGAATTTGGAGACCTTTAATTTGTTACTCACCAAAGAAATGCAGCGAAAAGCAGACGCTGACGACGACTACTACGGCAGTTTTTTTTTTGTTTTTTGTTTACATCACGTGATTCCTCTCCGCCAATCGTATTCGTCGCTCTGAGCGTTCCCTAGTTTGCTCTGTTTGTCCCTAGATTCCCTACGCAAATCCAGCGTTTAGCTAGGGGCGCGTCTGTAAAGCCGGCTTAACCTTGGTGCAACCGGAATTTAAACCCGTGCTTACCTAAGCTCGGTTTAGGGCGCTAAGCCGGCTTAGGAAAGTGCCGCTTTGAGTTAAGGTAAGCGGCGTTGGTGCAACCGGCCCTTAGAGTATATCCGAGAGGCACACCGCAGCACTGTGAAGAAATTTTGGACTCGCTGTTCCACCCAACTGCAGACATTCCCGGTACCTAAATGCCCCAGCACACTCACCTGCGCCCTTTTCTCTCCAATATCAGTAAACAATTGGTTAGAAAGAGTTATATCCGTTTTATTTTTAATTTTATTAAAGGCATATTCAATCAATCAAAAATCACCCCTGCTCCGATCGGATGACTCGCACAATTTTGTTCTGTCTGTGGAGCCGCGGGTACATCACGCATTTTGCGGTGTTCGCTCAAATGAGATGCGCTCTCGTGTCAAGCGCGCTACTGTCGCAGCGCCCTCGTGTCGCGCGCTCTAACGTCGGCGCTCTAATGTCGCGCGCTCTAAAGGCGCTCTCCCTTCACACACCGTACCTTCGCCGAGAAATGTTCGCGCGTCGCAAGCATCAAGTGGCGGCGATCGTTGCGCACCTTACTGAGTTTTCCACTCCGAGTGCAATGTCGTCCCGCATTGAAAATCGCAGACGCGAGGATGCCGCCGCTGTCGCCTGGGAGCCGCCATTTTTCCACTGTGCTCGTCTTGGCTTTGGCCAACTTCTCATCAGGAATCCCCCTTGGAAGAGCGCAAAGACTCTTTGCGCACGCTCGCGGTTACCGGAAAATAGAGTACGCTAAAATAGCGCACGCAAAGCGCGAACCGTGGTTAGCGTTCGGCGCATGCGCAGTGGTCACGACGGTATTCTTTGCGTACTCATATTTTTAGCGTACGCTATTCTGAAACTCCATAATGACCTCGATTGTTAAGGATGTGCGCGAGTGGAACGTGCCATCATTACGTCAGCGCGTTTCAGCTACTTTCATAGCTAGAGGACTGGGGACATTTGTAAACAATGACATAACATAAAAAGAAACCATTGCGTCATGCTCGTGAAGGACGTGACATCGAACGTGGCCCACACACACCAAATTACGTACTGTAAAATCGTTTGTTCCAGTTACGGGATTGATGAGTTCAACTAGATATTTTGACTGGCTGTAAGTGGGAAAACCAAAGAATGAAACAATCGGGCACGATGGGCACTCGGGTTTGTGAACTTTCGGGATATCATAAAGTTTTGGGCGTAGATCTGTTAAAAGAAAAAAAAAGACGACGATACGTTGAGTCGTCTAGGCGTTTCTTCTTTTTTAGATCACGGAGGGGATTAATGAGGCATCTCTCAGATTTTGGAGTGGGGTCCCGTGGCAACTTCCCGAAATTAGCTGTGTCATGAAAAACCACCTGCATTTTTTAATAAAAAAAAAAAAAAAAACTCATTTGTCAAGTACAAATGTGCCTTTTCCCTTGTCAGCCGTAAGAATGATGATCGACTGAACCGATTTAAGATCCCGGAGGGCCAATTGCTTCAGCTTGCTCAGATTGGATGGCGTTCCTTTTGCGTTGTTAAGCGTTGTTGTTATGCGGCTGCGTGCAAGATTGATACCAGACGAAGTCACTCCTCAATTTTCACTATAAAATCTCGCTTAGAAACAATGCGTAGGGCCAGAGTGAAATCAAGTCATTCCAAAAGAAGGTTTACATGGTTCAGGGAGATTTAATGTAATTTTGAAGCTCCCAAAGCTCTAGCTGTACTTAGAAATCGATTTCACGCCTAACAGTATTACAAACAAAATTGGTTCAATAATAACCTAATATTACGTCGGGAACCCCTTTTTTTAATTTCATAGAAAGTGCTGCTAACCATGAGAGCTCCTCTGAGTGGCAAACACGAACCATCCAACCGTTACGAATAATTAGGAGAAGAAAACGACCGCCGACTACTTGTTTTACTCTCGTTGTATGGTGTTCAAGTCGCGATGAGGCATAATGAAATTTTCAAATATCGCCAAAACGGGTGTCGCGTTTGTTTAAATTATGAACGGCGAGACAATATTGTTAGTGTAATCACCTTATTCAACCTCTTTGCAGCTACGACAGATTGCGGTGTTCCAGCACTCCGTTCAGGATCACCTGCCTCCCGCCCGACCCGTTGAAAATAACAACCACACGGACGTGCCGCCAGCTGCACCACCCAAGACTGACTTGAAAAGTTCGAATCCGGACACCACCAACCTTCGTCACATTACCTCATCAGCCAAAGTCGGCGAGCTACGACGCCAACCAGATCCAAGTTACGATGAGCACGCCATCAAGGCTCAGGTTCAAGACCAGCGCGCAAAATCCAATGGCGACCTTTTACGTAATCACGCCAGTGTCCAAGATTCCAATCAGAGCAGTGAGAACCTCCGACTCAAACAAGCTAACGGACACAGCCTAGTGAGCGTGCTAAGGGGACAGCTACATCTGCACGACCACCAGACCAGTGATCATCCGCATGACACGCATGACCACCACCACCATCACCACCATCACCATATGACTCGGCGCGAAGTGCGAACCGCCAAGACCCTCTTCTCAGTCGTGATCTTCTTCATGATATGCTGGTTCCCGCTGTACACCCTCAATTGCGTGAAGGCCTTCTGTGCACATTGCGATCCTCCCCAGTGGGTCTTCGATTCGCTCATCATTCTGTCACACCTGAACTCTGCGCTGAATCCCTTCCTGTACGCCTACCGGATGAAGGACTTCAGGGAGGCCCTTCAGAGGCTTCTCAGGTGCAAGCATCCGGCTCCACTCACGGACGTCCGCACGCTGTGCCACAGGAACGGAAGGTCCCCGGAAAACCACGCCGCAGATGACCCTCCCGGCAGAGTGGCAGTTACGGTTGTTGCTACACAGGCGTGTTGACCATAAAGTGTAGTGACATCCTCCTGCGGGTCGAACTTTGTTCACAAACTTACGTGAAGGCAGGAAGACCATCTGCGACGGGCCATGATGCTGCATCACTCCTCTCTACATGTGTGGTGCATTTTTTATTGGTGCACAGTCGATCATCTCAGGCTACGTTCGTCATCAAAACAATGAAGCAGCACAAGCGGAACGTCACGGGGAAAAGTGCGCGTAAACTCGTAAATTAGGTGGACAAGTCTCCCAGAAATCATCAGAAGTGTTGTATTGCATTTGCTTGTGCTATCGACGGAGGATGTAACCTGTGTTGTGTATGTGTACGATGTGTAACAATCAAGAAGTGATTTGTGTGCGTGTTGTGTTTGTTGTGCGTGTGACTTAAAGTTGTTGGTGTTCACAATGTGCAACAATGTAGAAAGCCCTGGAAGGAAACGGGTATAAGAGAGCGACAAAATGATGTATCCAGAATTAAGTATTTACCAAAGTCGTGTAAGCGTTTATTCCTCTTGAATTCTATTCAGCTCTCAGCTAATCGTGAGATGTGCCTAATCAGGACTTTTTGGAGGTTGTCGCTCTTAAATGATGCTCAAGGTCACGCAGTATTGGACACCACAGAGATCAAAGTAAGGAAGATTACATCGTAATAATAACATCTGCTATTGTTCTAGACTGTCGATTAGAATTCGTGTACAAAATTGCGAAGTTGCTGAATTCCAAGTTTTATTTATTTCCATAAGTGTTCACGTTTTTGTGCCTGTATAAACATTGAAGTAACACTTATTGTTATAGATGTGTTTCTTCGTATTGATCTCCAAATCACCAAATTATCAATAGCCTTACGCAACATGATTTGAAAGCAAGACATAGTCTGGAAGCCTCAGACCGAAAGTCGACGTTTCGCTAAGTAACGAAGGTTCCATCCTGTGTTATTTGTGTAAACGACATTCCTCTGGCAGCTATATTCAGCTATATATTTTCCCCAATACAAAGACGTCTAATGTTTAGTAAAGCATACCTACTGAATCGGCCTCCCAAGAGTTTTCGAAGCAGCATTGACCTGTCAGTCAGAGCATACAACACTTCAGATTGAATTCAACTCCTACTTAATTAAATCCATCTGAATGTTCTTATGTTCATGTGAATTATGGTGTTATGTCCTTCAACGGCCTTCTCAAATGCTGAAAAATCAGAGTCGGTTGGCAATGCTTCAAATAAGTTTTCTTTTCAACGACATTTCAGAGTCGTGAGAAATAAAAAAAGTGAAAGCCGTTTACAAATCCCTGTAACGTCGAATTGGAGCGCAGCTCTTGAGGAGGAGGAGTGAAGGGTACTGATGGGAGGGTAGACCCCTCCTCCTTCTCCTCCTCCTCCCCTCATTCTTTAATATGCTCCGGGGGGTGGTTTACACTGTCCAGTTGTGTGAGGAATTTGTTTTTAGAGCGCAGCTCTTAGGGGCCCGTTTCCGGCTTGAGCGGCGTCGGCGTCGGCGTCGGCGTAACCGCGCGGTGCATCATGGGAAATGCCCCATAATGCACCGCGCGAGCCCCCCACCGGGGTCACGTGACTTCGTAGGGGGGGGCACGTGACCCCCCTGAGGTCACGTGACCCCCCGAAGCCACGTGACTCCCCTGAGGTCACGTGACCCCCCGAGGTCACGTGACCCCCGCCGATGGCGCGTGACCCCCCGATGACGTCATCGACACTGATGACGTCACCGGCATCCACATCGTCATCGTCATAATCACTGATGACGTCATCATCAGTGATGATGACGATGACGATGCGGATGCCGGTGACGTCATCAGTGACGATGACGATGTGGATGCCGGTGACGTCATCACTGATGATGACGATGACGATGTGGATGCCGGTGACGTCATCAGTGATGATGACGTCATCAATGATGATGACGTCATCAGAGACGATGACGATGTGGATGTCGGTGACGTCATCAGTGATGATGACGATGACGATGTGGATGCCGCTGGCGTCATCACTGATTATGACGTCATCAGTGATGATGACGATGACGATGCGGATGCCGGTGACGTCATCAGTGAGGATGACGATGACGATGTGGATGCCGGTGACGTCATCAGTGATGATGACGATGACGATGTGGATGCCGGTGACGTCATCAGTGATGATGACGATGACGATGTGGATGCCGGTGACGTTACCGACATCCGCATCGTCATCGTCATCATCACTGATGACGTCATCAGTGACGTCACTGATGTCGTCACCGACATTCGCATCGTCATCGTCATCATCACTGGTGAAGTCATCAGTGACGTCACTAATGACGTCATCGGTACCCGCATCGTCATCGTCACTGATGACATCATCAGTGACGTCAGTGATGATGTCATCAGTGACGATGACGATGCGGGTACCGATGACGTCATTAGTGACGTTACTGATGACGTCATCATCATCGTCACCACCATCGTCACCCCCCTGGTTAGTCTAACCCCCCCAGCGCCCTTCCCTCCTCCTCCTCAAGAGCTGCGCTCTAATTCGGCGTTACAGGGAGTTGTAAGCGGCTTTCACTTTTTTCCTACCTGTATCACGATGCTTTGGACATAATATTAGAAATTTCTTCTAGATTATTTCAATATTTCTGATAACAATACGATACATCGGCAGAGGCGCCGCGGAATATTGAGTATAATTATCAGAGTGATTGAAATGACCTGATAAAAATTCCTATTTACCTCAAGAGAGGGGGTTGGGCCGACAATACGAAATAAGCAAAATGAAATGATAACGCTAGAGAAGAGAAACACAACGACGAAAAAAAAGGCGGCCAAACCAGAGCGAAATTAATTATTTATTTCGCTTGTTGTACAGAACCGAGAGTGCCTCGAATAAGGGTTTAAGCATCGACGACGAAGAAATTTAAGTCATATAAATACCGTCAAGATTTCCCGCTTTGCAATTTCAACGTCAATTCGATTCAAGCCTGTAAAAGCATCGCATGCGAATATGAAGGGCGGCCCCTGAAACGTCGGGTGGGCCCGTCGCTTTAAGGTTCTGGGGTAAATTCAGAGAACAACACTGCTTGCTTCACGTATAAAGATTAAGTAAACTCTCCTAATACAGGATAAAGACAATATAGTTAGATATATGTATATATTACTTAATTGTAATTTACACTTATATACAGCAGAATAGCCCCGAGCACCGAATTATTCAGACCGAGCGTTTCACTGTAGCGACAGAATGCATATTTCACCGCTTCCACTTGTTACTGTCTCCAGATCAACAGCGCCGACGAAGTAGCATTACGAGACATAAGAAAGAAAAGTCCTAGGGTAGGCAGAGATTTGCATATGTGACAATCCACATCTGGTTGAAAGACTAAAACCTTAACCAAATAGCACTCTGTCGGAAGCAAAACAAAGCGTATACCGAACATGGTGAACAATCGAGCACGACTTTTGTTTCCAGACCCTGAAGAACTTCGTTCCACGAGCACACCTTTCATGTCCGGTGGTCATACCATGATGACGTGTCCGTCAGGATCCCCCTGTGAGAAGAATGTAAAGCAGTTTTAGAAACAACACGTTTAATAGAATTCGATGAGCATACCGCTTTAAACGTACGAAGCAACCCCTCTGGGTTGGGCGTTCATAAAAAAATTGCGAAAAAGATAACCAAAATATTTATTTGCGAGACACTGATAATTGCTATCGTTTCGCAGGTCTGCTATGTACGTGCTTTTTTCGAGAACAATCTTAGAGTTTTTTTTATACTTGGTAAAGGTGACAGCGGTTGTCTTACGTTTCACAGAAATTTCGCTTTCAGCGTTATCTTAATCGTAAGTTGGAAGTCATTTAAAAATATTCACAGTAAAAACGTAGATGGCCCTTTATGACAGAAGACGCTATTCGCTCCTGTGTACTTTCAAAAAAGCTCCCGAAATCACTTCTGCCCATAAATCAAGATAACCTAATACTCAGAGTGCCAAAACTGTTTTTTTTTTGTTGTTGTTCGGTTTGGGTTCAGGTTTACGGCTTTCGGTTCAGTTCCGGTTCATTCCGGGGAGCAAAAGTAACGGTTCAAGCCGATTGTAACCAGTTTGAACCGCTAAATTGGTCATTTGTTTTCCGCGTTGTTTTGGATATACGTGGTATTTTCGTTGTGAAACGAGTAACTATACTGTATAGTTTTTTTTTTTGTCGTTCGCATAATGCACTTTTATTTTCAAATTCCAAGAATAACCATGTTGAATAAACCTGAGACCGGTTGAGCTGAGCTTGAGACGTCGTCATGTCCTTTTTTGTTCCTTCGACTTTATGCTCATTTCTGCCCTTGTCTCAGGTTTATTCAACATGGTTAACATTTACCAGCTCGCCGGCAACCTTAAAATATTATCTCTAACCAAGAATAAGAAGTTGCGTCATTAAATTTCAACGATACAGTAAAGTAAATTATTAACATACACAACGTCGTGTTAATACGACACAACATCCATCTTTTTCCCAAGTCACATACATTTTACCTGCATCAAAAGTTTGTCACGAAGTCTAATAGGTCGACCAAAATAGCCATGATTGGTACAACTTTGAGTCACAGTATGAAAAGTTGAACCGTAGTTGTGCTTTTGAACTAAGGAATTATTTATAGTGCATGAAACCATGGAATGGGCCTACCGTGAAGTATAGATTACGAAATACGTTTTGAAATATATAATGACGATAAAACTGGGCTTAAAGCTATATTAATTTCAATATGTCATAGAAGTGTTAGGACAAGCCTTCAGTCTACGTTTTACAGAAACACTGAGCGGCAATCATAATGCTTTTTTTACTAGCCAACATTGTTTACACTCAGCACCTTGATGCAAGCTAAGGAATCAGAAAGCAGTGATCAAATTCATTCACTCTATTCTATACATGCCGTCGTACTCAGATCGAATCTAACCTAAAATTGCGCGTACCCAAGGGAATTTTTTCTCTTATATAGGATAAGCTGGCATAGTCTGGCTGTTTGAGGTTTGTACTTGACAAGATGCCGGTCAATTCAATTTGCAAATAAGCATCACCATTGCTAATTGATATTTTTTTCTAAATAGAACAAACTAATATTCCATGCTCTACTGTACCTGGCAGCAACATAATTGGTCACTTTGTGACGGTCTGCGTGCATAATCGCCACAGTTTCGTCACTCGCTCCTGTGTACTTTTTTTTTTCTCCAGCCCACAAACACATAAAATTGCTGTTCATCACATAAAAGAGGCAATAACAGACTTCTATATGTTTTAAGTTATACGTATATGTTCCAGAAACACAGTTATTTGAATCAGCTTAAAAATTAGAACTTTTTTTAAAGTTCTCTCAATCACCTTCGACACGTGCCAATCGAAGATAAAAACGCCAAAAAAGATTTGCAGATCATCTTTCAGATCATTTTCGAGGTGTCATTTACTTATGATGTATATCTTTAAGGTGATCAACTCTTTATTTATGTTGTCAAATCTTAAGTCAGTAATTTCACATATTTTTATTATCATCAATAAATTTGAATGTATGAAGTTCACATAACCGCTTGAGACCGACCGACACGAAAGGAGGAGAGCTGTAAATACGCCTGCTGTTGAGCCGATCTGAGGAAACGTGCTTTTTTGTTCACCGCTTGGCAGTGTGAAACACCAAGTTGCAGCATGTGTTAACAATACTTTATGCTCACATGATAGATCTGAAGGAAAATACGCGAAGTGTGCAGCAAGAGGGAGATAATAAATGGTATTCTTCAAAAGACTCTGATAAACATCGCTATACTGAAAGAATACAGATATGTGTTACGCGCGAATAACGTAAAGAACAGGCAAATGTTCGTATCATCCTAACATACATTATGTTTGGCAAACGGCTTCCATGAACTCAAATATCTGCGAAACACTGCCTCGGGAGGCTAACGCTGTATTTGTTTTGCGCGCCCTTGTTATGTATAAAGCACGTACTTTACAAGTATGTGCTTTATCAGTCATGCGCTCTAACACATTATAAGGCTGTCGTTATATCATCGCAAAACGGCTATATATACCGTAAAACTTTACATTTTAATGCGAAAGCGCTAACTGTCCCATAGAGCGAGCCGACGTTATCAGTTTGAACTGCGCCAAACGGAACCTTAAATCCTTTCTAAAGTAAGTAGGCAGGCGAGCTGGTTGATGTTACACATTTTTGAAAACCGGAGACGACGGACGAAGAAGGGGACAACACACAAAACGTCTCAATAGAGACGTTTTGTGTGTTGTCTCCTTCTTCGTCCGTCGTCTCCGGTTTTCAAAAATGTGCTCTAAGTTAAGCCAGCTCCTAGCTATGAAACCACGCGAAAACCCCAGACGACGGCACCTATACTTCGTTTCAGCTTCGATCCGAGCGCGGCCGATGTAATGAACCGAAGGGCCAATCAAACAGCGAAAGAGTCACAAGGTCATGGCGTGCTCTCTGCAGTTGATAGGACCAGCCGCTATTCGCCGTCTCTCTGTGCGCGCTCCTCCGCCGGCTAGTCCTACCAAACGCAGAGAGCACGCCATGACGGTGCGCTTTCTGCGGTGTTTGATTGGCCCTTTGGCTCGTAACATCGGCCGCGCTCGGACCGCAGCTGAAACGAAGTATAGTTGCCCCGATCCCAAAGGAGCGGAGTAAAGATGATGGATTTCGCCTTCAGTTCCATTGGCTGGCGCGCGTCGACGAGGCTCCCATTGGCCACTGCGCGCGTCAGTTTCAATGATCGCCACCCCATGGCGCTGCGTGTCCGCGACGCGAGCGCGCCTGTAACACGAAGCGTCCAAGGTCAGAGCTGTGAGGAGAGCTAACAGAACGCACGCAAGGCCGACGCAAATACGCTGCAAACGAAACACGGGAGCGGAAGAACGACACGCACGCTTTCGCATTCACAACTCATAAGAAGCGCTTAGGTGTACAGTCAGCACGGAATAAAACCCGAACGCCGGAACGCGTGGCCATTAGGGAGGCTCAAGTGAGGGTGGGTGCAACTGCTAGATCGGGGATCACGGGACATGGACGCCATTTAATTGCTAAATTTTGCTGGGAGTGTATGGGGCAGGGTGTAAGATAGACAGGTGGGGAAACGAGAGCCGAATGAGCGACCGCATTGTGTCCCCCTCGGTTTTCTCTTTTTCTGTGGCGCCATCTATGTGGAGCACCGCGAACTCTCACTCCGGGTGGGCGACCGATGGCGACCGGCTAAACTGACGGAGATGGTTTCTCGTGGATTTTCAATGGAGGACTTTCGTGTTCCCGTTTTATTTTCCGCACTCTCCCATAAAGTTCCGCGCAAATCCGATTCCGATTTTTTTCCTCTCGCCGCAGCGCCATCTGTCGCAAATCGGGGGTACCCGGAAGCAGACGAGTACACAATCCGGTCACGGCGCTGCGGTAGACTTCTATGGGCCGTTTCCCCACCTGTCTATCTTACACCCTGGTATGGGGCAAAGGGTCGTTTTATTTCGCAACTCAGGTCATAAGAGCCCATTAAGGTGCTTGAATAATTTACACAAGGTTTAAATGATTACTTTTCCTTAGCCACACGTTTTGTTGCGATAGGTTAAGTACTTTTTAACGCGAAAAAAATGGTGAATTCCGCCATCTCGGACGTCGCTGCTTGTCTGGTAACCCTGCTTTCTCCTCTCGACATTTGCAATTCTGGGAGCGAAAAGGAAGCGAGAGAGGCTGCGCGAAGGCGTTCCTTGCTTGCAATGGGAGGCGAGAGGAGGAAAGGCGCCTGGAGCAACAGAGGTGCAACAGAGCGGGCGTCTGCTCTCGTGCAGGCAACATTGCCGCATATCCTTTCGCGAATCCTCTCTCTCAGGCGCTGCGATTACATTGCAAACGCTCTCCAGGTTTTGAGTTGCACTCACCCTCACTAGAGCCTCAGTCCCTAGTGGCCATCAACACAGGCTGCTCCACCTGGAGGGCCCCTAAGAACTAAATAAAATGCGCCGGGGTGTGAGGGTGCGGGTCCTTATGATGTGCTCGTCCCTCGCGCGGCGCGACTGCGACTTCCGCGTTTCGCCGGTGGCACGCTGTAAGCGCCGTCGCTCTAGAGTAACTGTATATGCTCCGCTTGCGGAGCAGAGTACCGCAATGGTGCCATTCTGGAGCCAAGCACTGCGGGAAGCTACGGTCTGTTTTTGCAGGGGACGCGAAGGCGCAGATGCGAGGCGGCGTGCTGTGGCGTGCTACGGCGCGCTGCGTAAAGAAAATAGTGCGGCGTGTGGCGACGAGCCGCACAGGCGCCGTCAGCGTTGTCCCGTCGTTTCCTGTTTCCCCCTCGATTGCACAAATCGTACCCGCGGATCCTGGGGGTCGCGTGTGAAGTGAAGTCGTCAATTCATTGCGGTAAACGACGCAGCGGCTGACGAAAACGCCGTCCCCTCGCTTCCGCATCAGAGCTCGCCGACTCGCCAAGATGGCCGGATGTGCCGGTCGCGTATCGCGTATCACTCCGCGAGAGCCGCAGACGCGAGCAACGCGATCGTCGTCCGTGTCGTCTGC